TATCAAATATTTATTTAGGGACTGCTAGATGCCAAACCGCTTAGATACTGGGGAAATAAAGATGACTAAGATGTGATCCATGACCTTCAATAGTCTAAAAGGGCCAACAGATCTAAAAACAGTAAACCAATTACCAAAAATGAAAAAGCTTAACCATGTTTAATTAGAATGTATAATAAACTCTCAAAACTCAATGGGAAAGCAAAAACAATCCGTTTAGGAAACCGACTAAAGACATGAAGACATTTTAGCAAAGTAAATCTACAGACAGCAAACAAGCACATGAAAAACGTTCATCTTTAGACATTAGGGAAGTATGGATTTAAATCACAATGAGATAGCAGCGCATACCAATCAGGAACAGCCCCCCCCCCCCCACAGGGACAATAACAACTGCTGGCGCAGAGGAAAAGAACAGATCACCTGTGCACTGCTGGAGAGAATGTAAAATGGTGGAGGCTGTCAGGAAAATAGTTTGCGATTTCTTACAAAACTGAGCATGCCATTACCCTATGATCCAGCAGCTGCGCTCCTAAGCGTTTATCCCAGCAAAATAAAAACTTAAGTTCACACACAGAAAAACCTACACATGAATGTTCATGCAACAATTTTATTCGTAACAGCCAAAAACTGGAATCAGCCCAAATGCCCTTCCACAGGGGAATGGTTAAAGAACGATACATATTATAGACCACTACTCAGCAAGAAAAAGGAACCACCAAGGGAATTGTGGTGGGTGAAAAACACCAATGCCAAAAAGTTGCTCACTGTACCGTTCTATTCTCAAAATAACAAAATTGTAAAACTAAAAAAAAAAACAAAAAACAAATTACTGGTTGCTGGGGTTACAAATAGAGAAGACAGAGGAGGAAGGTGGGTATGAAATAGAAAGGCAAGATGAGGGATTTTTGGTGTTGGAACTGCTCAGTATCTTATAACTTTTTCTACGCTGAATCTAATCTATACATAATAAAAAACTTACACATTTTTCTGCAACTTCTTTCTCTGGACAGTATATTGTAGGGCACATAAAAGGTAGTATTAGTGGCCTGGCTGGTGTGGCTCAGTTGGTTGGAGCATTGTCTCGTAACCGAAAGGTTGTGGGTTTGATTCCCAGTCAGGGTGCGTACAAGAAGGAAACTGATTGTGTTCACGCACATGTGCGTTCTCTCTCTCTCTCTCTCTCTCTCTCTCTCTCTCTCTCTCTCTCGGCAGAAAGAGAGGGTAGGGTGCAAGCAAGAAAAGAGGCACACTAGAACTTTTTTACTTTCTTATTTACATGTTTTGCCACTAGGGTTCCACATTATAAACTCAGTAAGATGGTGAAATAAAAATGTATATGGAAATTTAAAAACATACCTCTAAATAACTAATGAATCAAAGATGAAATCACAATGGTTATTAGAAGATACTTAAAATTCATGGAAGACAGCTAATGTGATCCTAAGAGGGAATTACAATCGTAAATAATTAAACAAAAAGGCTTAAATGTAAAAAGTTATGAATTTAATTCAAGAAGTTAGAAAAACAACAAGAGTGATTTCTAAGTGTAGATATTAAGTAGACAGAAAACAAAGATGCCACAGAAAACAAAGATGCCACAGAAGGAAAAAAGACAAAGCAAAGCTGGTTCTCTGAAAAGACTAATAATATAGTCAAATCTCTGGCAAGAGAGAGATCAAAGAGAAAACAAATAGAAAAAAAGGTAGGGGTAATACAAATAATATTAAGAATTTTTAAAAATGCAGAATTACAGCAATAGCAGAGACTAGTGAACAAGGGAGAGAGGACACATGACGCAGTCAGCAAGGAGGGAGAGGTCATATGCTGGGGGAGTAGTGAAAATAAGCAAATTAGGAAGTTTTTGGAGACGTTCAATAGGAAATAGTAGCGGAATGAACCGGAAGAAAGAGTGGAGACAGGACACGCCTTAGATTTGGGTTGTTTGAAAAGTAGAGCTGACAACACATGCAGACGGACTGCATATGGGTTTGAGGGAAAGGTGTGAAGTTTAAAAGTAAAGATAATTATTAAGTGTGGAATCAATAAATACAGTCCCTACCTCCGCATACAGACCCAAACAATCTAGCTCCAGTTTCTAGTCTAGTTCTAGCCTCAACGCTCATTAATCCAACTCACTTAGCTAACCTTTCATTCATACGAAGACTCTCACCGTTCACCGAGCGTGTCACGCCCTTTCAATCTGTTGCCTCTTCCCAGAATGCTCTAATTCCTCATTAAAGTCTTACTCATCTTTCAAGACTCAGTTCAAATGTCATCTCTCTGACACTTTGCACTAATCTCCTAGGCATGATTAGTCACTCCTTTCTCTGGCTTCACTGGTTACATCTAGCAGCAGCAGCAGCATTGTTAGAATAACAGATGGTAACGTTTACTGAGGATTTCTGTTTCCGGCACTGTTGTAACATTATTACGTCTATTATTTTATTTAATCCTATAAAGAATCTTATAAATTAACTTCTATTTTTATGCCATTTATATCAAGAAACGGGGTATAAAATGATTAAATAAATTCTCAAAGGTTACACACTTAGTAAGTGCTGAACCCAAGAATTGAACCGAGGAATTCTGGGAAGATGGTGGGAATGTAAAATGGTACAGCTGCTCTGTGGAAAACAGTATGGCAGGTCTTCAAAAATACATAACATAGAATCACCATCTGATCTAGCATTTCCAATTCTGGGTATATATCCAAAAGAACTGAACGCAGGACCTCAAAGATGTATTTGCACATCCATGTTCACAACAGAATTATTGGCTGTAGTCAAGAGGTGGAAGTAACCCAAATGTTTATGATTGGGTATGGTATACACATACAATGTAATATTAATCAGTCCTAAAATGGAAGGAGACTCTGACACGTGACTTTAAAACATGAATGAACCTGGAGGACATTATGCTGAATTCTGAAATAAGGCAAGTCACAAAAAAATAAGTTTTGTACTATGCCAATTATGTGAGGTATCTAAAGTAGTCCAATTCAAGGAGGCAGAGAGAAAGCAGAATGCGGGTGGCCGGAGTTCTAAGGGGAAGAAGAACGGGCATTTATTGTTAATAGGTGTAGTTTCAGTTTGGCGAGATCAAAACAGTTCTAGAAATCTGTTGCACAATATGAATATAGTAAACAGTACTGAACTATACCCTTAAAAATGGTTAGGATTTTGATGTTATGTGTTGTTTTTTACCACGATTTAAGTATTATTTTTATAAAAACAGGGGAAGATGTGTGTATGGAACAGAGATATATGGTACCTTGTACCTGGAAATCAGAAAGCAAAGAGGGTTGGGGAAGATTGAATCTGACTATGAAGAGCCTTAAATGCTAAAATGAATAAAAATGAGAAAATATTTAAAGCTGGCCCACAACAGAAAAACATCCTATAAATCAATACCTAGATGTACCCAAACTCTCAAACACCACCAAGCCTGAGGATCTAAAATGGAAGAAAAAAGTTTTCTCATTTTGAAATACTATTTTTATTATTAAGCTCTAAGTTCTTAAGGCAACCACATTATCAAGCCTTTCTCATTTATTCACAGTTTCACAAAATAAGATTGAGCTTGTTATATTCCTAATAAAAATTGATTCTGGAGTATCAGTAAACCCTATGTTATTTCTAAAATATTCTTCGTTCTGGGAAGCCCTCATGTTTTGTTATAAAAATAAAATAAAATAAACTTGAATTTAAAGTTAAACAAGTACTAGCTTTTTAGAGTCCAAACGTTACTTAACTTCTTTATGCTTCACATTTGCCATTTGTTAAATTGGAATAACACCACCTACCTCACTTCGCTGTGATGAGAATTACATTACATAATGTATAAAGGATCGAATATGGTGTGCAGCATAGAGTACGAGCACAATGAAGAACAATTTAGGGAAACTGAACATTTTATTTGCAATTTTAGGTTTAGTTAATTAACATTAAGAAAAAAATTGAATTTAGATTTTTATTAAGCCTTTTAAAGCACACAGGCCCAGTACCTGGGCTTTCAAAGTACCTTTCAAAGTACCTTTCAAAGCACAAAGGCCCAAGTACCTGGGCAGATTCTTCACCATGTGAATCTACGACATGTCAAAAAAGACTAAATTGAGACATTAACGCAAGCAGTTACGCATGTAATAGCGAAAGAGAATTCCAAGGGCAGGACTTGGCTGAAAATGGAACCTAATTTAATTTAGAAATTTCATCCAATAACCTAAGAGTTAATAGGCTTTCAAAATAAATTTAGAAAGGCTTACATGTAAATGAACTAATACCCTTTTTTGAATTCCTGCATATTTACACTGGGGTAATATAAGAGAAAGCACTATAACAGCAGCAAATCTAGTTCTTCTTGGTGTCCTGGCATTACAAAAAACATTGCAGTTACTATGTAACAGAAAATATAAAGTCCTTTTCTTCTCATTTCCTTTTTACTCCTGTTTAATGAACAATTAAAGTGTCAAGATAGACTGCTCAAAAGCACTAAATAGGTGGAAAGTTAAGAGATTTGTTTCTGGGAGGAAGCAGGAATTAAGAGATATAAACTACACTCTTGCTTAAACTTGAATTTTTCATATAATCACATTAAAGGGAAAAAAGCTCCAGATATTTTTCTCGTTAAGATTTTTTTTCTAATAGTTTAAATTTTGATGAACGTGAAGAAAACCACACACTCTAAATGCATGGGCTGCACTTTTTAACAAAGCCTAAAGTACACACTGCATACGCCCCTCACACGTGTAAGGGCAGGTGTGAGATTTCATCATTTAAAAAACAAAATCACTTGTGAAAAATAAAATTATGGTACATTTGGTTTATTCTTAAAGGAAACATCACTATTTCACAGGGTAGAATAGTGAAACTCGTACATTACACATTTCGCCTATTTTTACTAAAATTCTAATTATTGTCTAACTTCCAAAGTTCATATATGCATATATGTGCACACACGTGTATATTTAATTTCTTCATTTTGTATAGAGATGCACTTACGAATCAACATGCAGAACCCTCTGGCCACTTCTTGAACATGCAGCCGCAATGATGGACTCAGGCAAACCTATAAAAATACACACCTATATCATTTAGAATGTAGAAAAATATATATATATAAAACGCAAAATGCTCAATTCATGCCATCGATGTAAAGAAGAGTTTAACAAAACAAGCTCATCTTCATATTCTAAACTATAATGTGTATATTATACCATTGGATGTTTCTTAAACTACTAATGCTGAAAATTTTATTACGTTGAAGAGAGATTTTTAAAAACCAAGTACTTAAATTCCTTTTAGCAGCAAATTACTATCAATGAGGAACTGTTAAAATATTGTTCATACAGCACTTTGTTGTTAGGAACTATGGTCACACACTCGCTCATCTGATTATCTCAACGGCACTGAGAGAGGCATTTGCATACACATTTTAAAGATCAAGAAGAAACTGGGGTAAAATGTTAACTTGTCACCCAGTGCTCTAAGAAAGTGAAAAAGGCCCTGGCTGGTGTGGCTCAGTGGATTGAGCGCCAGCCTGTGAACCAAAGGGTCGCTGGTTCGGTTCCCAGTCAGGGCACATGCCTGGGTTGCGGGCCAGGTCCCCAGTAGGGGGCGTGTGAGAGGTAACCACACATGGATGTTTCTCTCCCTCTCTTTCTCCCTTCCTTCCCCTCTATCAAGAAAGAAAAGAAAAGAGTCCTAGAGTTGAAATTTAAACCCAAATCTAGCTCCAAAGGCACAGTGCCTCTAATGGGGAATGGCATACATGCATTCATTTAAGCAATAGGTTAGCTAGTTTGAAAAGAGGCCATTTACAAGACATACTCTTACTTTCTGGGTAATATAACGGTTTGAAAAGAACGTTACTGTTCTGGGATCAAATTAAGCCACACCATAAAATTGGTTAGCATAAAAGGAAATATATTTTACTAGTCTCAGTACCAACAACAAAAAAAATCAACGACCAAAGATCATGATTTTAGAAGTTTAAAAAATCAGGCGTTCCGTTACATCGACTATTGAATGCCTTCTGTTGTAAGTTCAAGACTTTTCCATAACTTCTCATCCTCAGATCTACCATTTCAATGGAGATCAAGTGTTTCCTGTCAGTCAGACGAAGAAACCATGTTTTGAAAGCTTACTGCAATTCTACGGTGCTACTACTTTTTCACGGCAAAGAAAACACCCTGATCCTCTTGGACTTTCACCTACTAGAAAAGAAATAGCACCACTCTTTTGGCAAGGAATTAAACTACACACTATGCACCAAGGGTTTCAAAGAAATGGAACAGTTATCTTCGTTATGTAAAAAGCAATATGCATATGGAAGCAATTGACATAGTCAATCTCTAGTTAAAAACCACATTAAACACAAACTCCAGCTGCATTCACAAAAGACTAGAGTTTTCCAGTGGGGAACGCTTTGTGGGTATGTAAGGCTTGGTTTTGAAGACATGGTCTGGTCACGTGTACTGTATACGGCCATTAAACCTCAACTATTAGAAAGAACCCATCATAAAGTTTCAACTTTGAATATAATTCAAAGGAAAAAACAGAGTGGGAATTTGCGGCGTTCAAGGAAAGAGGAGACAGAAAGGAAAGTTTTAAATAGTTCAGCATAGTTCTTCAAACGGTTAAAACTGTATTGCTCTAACATCTTTTTAGTTTGACTCTCTGAACTTTTTGCACCTAAAGAAATACCTTTTCTGATTAATGAAATGCAGTCACCACGGTACTGCTGTGCCGCTTAATGAAAAAGGGCACCGGCAAAGAAATATTCAGGAAGCAGAATCAGCACGTTAACATGTGCAGTAATGGCGGCATCAATAACACATTACCAAACGTTAATTAGCACAGGCCTTTTAAGGGTTCACAATGTATATCCACACACGTCATCGCATTTATTCCTTATTATAATCCTGGGAGGCAGGCCGTCCTATCCATGTGAGAAATGGGATGAGAAAGGGTCAATAATTGGCCAAAGACCAAGGCACTCAGGAATTTGCTACCTCCAGTTCTAACTACCACGGTAAAGTCGCTCTCCCCGAGCTGCACAGGAGACTACGAAGGACACTAGAGGTGAGGGCGGACGGCAATGCAATGCAATGCGCGGGGTCTCAGGCTGCCTAAGGAGCTGTGTGCGCTCGGACAAATCACAGGACCTCTCTGAGCCCCTGGTTCTTCGTCCACGAGAATGCCACGATCCGCCTCACAGAGTTGTCCAGCTGTTAGCAGAGGCTACTTGCTCTAGAAACACTACCTACCTTTGTTATTCTTCAGAAAGATATTTTTAAAATACTGCATTTCATCTAAATACCACTCGAAACATACAGCTATTTTTACCAGACGCCCACTCCAATGGCAAACAATAATAAAATTACTCTCCTCTCCTTGGCCTAAATTAGCTGTTACTTTGTATAGGCAAATACACATGTGGTTGGCATGTGGTTATTTCCATGGCTGGGACCAACACTGTCAGAAGGCATGTCTGCTGACAGAGCAAAGCCAAGAACGGGTTTCAGTGCTGAACATGATTGGAGTCCAAATTACATAAAATCAAAATGACTATCATTTGTGTTTTCCCTCCATGCTTCCATCCAGGCATCTCCACGAGTTTGTAAAATTGATAGGCTGTTCCCATGACAAACAGGCCTGTTCGCTTCATGCTTAGCATGATTAAAATAACGGGATAATAATACAGCCAGTAATATCTTCCTGGCCAAGATTTCGTATTTCTTTCCACCCATTTAATAAACCCTGAGTTCTTGAACAGAGGGTGCACATGGTAGGTGCTCTGTAAATATTTTTGGAAGAAAAGAAAAGGAGAGAAAGAGATCGAGCAGACTGTGATAGGTAGTGAGGCGAAAAAAGCTAAGATTGAGGCAATTCCTAGCCTAAAAGAGCTCAGAGTGTAAAGGACATGAACATAAAGTGATTTAAAAAAAATCAATCAGGCCCTGGCTGGTGTGGTTCAGTGGACTGAGCACTGGCGTGTGAACCAAAGGGTCGCCGGTTCGATTCCCAGCCAGGGCACGTGCCTGGGTGGCGGGCCAGGTCCCCAGTAGGGAGTGCATGAGAGGCGACCACACATGGATGTTTCTCTCCCTCTCTGTCTCCCTCCCTTCCCCTCTCTGAAAAAATAAATAAATAAACTCTTTTTAAAAAATCAATGTAATTAAAACTGTTCTAGAAACACAATGGAAAGAAACAGAAGGAATTCTGTAGATGGGACTCATGGAAAACTCTAAAGAGCTGTGGACCCTAGGTGGGTGTTTCAGGATCTACAACAACCCAGCTGAAGATTATCAAAGAAGTAACATGTAGAAGGAAAAAAGAAAAGTAGAAGGGAGTATTCCTGGGGTAAAGGGCAAAGGAAGAGGGAACCAAAAGGTGACGTTCAAAAAGAGTGCTTGGACACTCTTATTCAACATAGTACTGGAAGTCCTAGCCATAGCAATCAGACAAGAAGAAGAAATAGAAGGCATCCAAATTAGAAAGGAAGAAGTAAAACTGTCATTATTGGCAGAGGATGTGACAGTGTACAGAGAAAACCCTAAAGATTCCACCAAAAACAACTAGATCTAAAAAAAAGGATTCGGCAAACTAGCAGGTAATAAAATCAATACCCACAAGTCAATGGAATTATACACCAATAAAATGTATAAAAATTCTGAGCTATCAGAAAAAGAAACTAAGAAAACAATCTCATTTAGTACTGGAACAAAAAAAAAAAAAAAGATACCTCAGAATAAATTTAATCAAGGAAGTAAAACACTTGGACTCAGAAAACTATAGGACACTGAAGAAAGAAACAGAGGAAGGTAAAAATAAGTGGAAGCATATACCATGTTCATGGATTGGAAGCATTAACATCATTAAAATGTCCATACTACCCAAAACAATCTATATAGATTCAACACAATTCCTATTAAAATACCAATGTTGTATTTCACAGATCTAGAAAAAATATTCCAAAATTGTATATGGAACCAAAAATAACCCCAAATAGCCTCAGCAATCTTGAGAAAGAAGGACAAAGTAGGAGGGATCACAATACCTGATATCAAACTATACTACAAGGCCACTGTAATCAAAACAGTCTGGTATTGGCATAAGAACAGACACAAAGATCAATGGAACAGAACAGAGAGCCCAGAAATAATCCCATGCCTCTATGGTCAGTTAATATTTGACAAAGGGGCAGGAACATAAATGGAGTAAAAATAGCCTCTTCAATAAATGGTGTTGGGAGAGCTGGACAAGTACATGCAATAAAATGAAACTAGACCACCGACTTACACCATGCACAAAAATAAACACAAGATGAATAAAAGACTTAAATGTAAGTCCTAAAACCATAAAAGTCCTAGAAGAGAACATAGGTAGGAAAATCTCAAGACATCTCGAGTACAGTATTTTTGCTGATATAGTTCCTAGGGCGAGGGAAACAAGGGAAAAATAACCATATGGGACTGTATCACATTAAAAACCTTCTGCACAGCAAAGGAAAGAGTCAACAAAATGAAAAGGGAACCCACTGTATGGGAGAATATATTTGCCAGTGATACATCTGCTAAGGTTTAATTTCCAAAATATATAAAAAACTTGCACAACTGAACACCAGGAAGATGAACAACCCAATTAAGAAATGGGCTAAGGACCTGAATAGGTATGTCTCCAAAAAAGACATACAGATAGTCAATAGACATATGAAAAAACACTCAACGTCACTAATCATCAGATAATGAAAATTAAAACCACAATGCGATACCACCTCACACCTGTCAGAATGGCCATTGTCAATAAATCAACAAACAACAAGCGCTGGCGAGGCTGTGGAGAAAAGGGAACCCTCATACACTGCTGGTGGGAATGCAGACTGGTGCAGCAGCTGTGGATAACAATATGGAGTGTCCTTTAAAATTTAAAAATGAGACTCTCGATCAACCTCATGATTCCACTTCTGGGAATATATCCAAAGGATCCCAACACACACACACACACACACACACACACACACACACACACAGTCTGTCCAGAAGGTATCCAGCCATGAAAAATAAA